GTACGTACGTACGTACGTACGTATGTACGTACGTTCGTATGTCAGCATTTTTTTCGTTTTCGATATCTCAAGAACGGATTGAGATATCGCCCTCAACCAAAATTTTTTCGAAAGATATTATCATAATGAAGATCTGAAAGAAATTTGAACGAAATCGGTCAAGCCGTTTTTTTTTTATAAAAAAAAAAACGAATTAATTACAAACAATTTAATTAAAATACGTTCTAATCTAATCACAACAATGAAGTTACGGAATCAATAATAACGAAATATCATTATTCAAGACAGGGAATAACATATTATAATAACATATTATAATAAAAATTTGTTTATAACAAAATGAATTGTTATAAACAATCGATAAACAATAAAAAATAGTATTTACCAATTGACTGATGCAAGTACTCTATCAATTCGGTTTTCTCAGACGAAATACTGTTTCTTATGGGTTTATAAAATGACGAACTCTCAAACATTGTTTGTTATTTATTATTGTGCCGCGTTTTTTTCAAACTTTAGAAACGAATGTACTTTACAATAACTGTATTATCTAATGGGAAGTTAGTCGTATTAGCACCGACCAAAATGTGCTCAGACCAATTTTTTTAAAACGTATTCAGTAATCTAATCTAATCTAGTCCTACAACTCAACTCATGTTTATTTTTTCGTTTCTATTCCTAATAGTTCGTCTTCAAAATGATAAACACTTATCAGGATTAATTAGCATTAAATGATTAGCACTAGGAAGTCTGATGAAGGTAAACGTGCTTTTAATTCTAGTCATATTACGAATTTTGGAAAAACAACAGATTTTCTGAATTCTAGTACCTACCTATCTACTGTTTAGAAACATCAGTTTTAAAAAACCAATCGCATGAAATAAATGTTAGTGGCAATTATTGATGACGTATAAATCTAAAATCAGTTTAGACGAATATTGCAAATATATTATAGTAACCTGTAAGTTCTTAATAATAAAATTGTGATAGACATGAAGAAATTTGCATTCCAACTAAGAATTGATTTCATACAAGCGTCGTTTACTTTTCTTCTCTAATTTTCCAAATATAGCTTTCATATAGGTATATCTACCTAGATATGAAACAGTTGGCTTCCATCAGGAAGTAATGAAAACAAAGGTCATCTTTTGTTACACCCGTTTACCATTGTTTTATTCGATTTCACATGAGGAGAAAACTACGAACTCCATTATTTATCCAAAAATTTTTCATTTGTTGAATGCTTATGATTTTAATAAACAATTTTACGACTCACGCGCAAATTTGTTTCTCATTCACTCTACACGTTTTTCCACCCGGTGACGTATGTCATTACCCCTAATCCCAGTATACTCTAGAATTCGTTGGAGAAAATTTCATGTTTTATTAAAACAGTTTTCTTCGTTTTTCGATAGCACTTCTATTTAAGAAAGGTAAGTGCATGTAATCTTTTATGAAGACGAGTTAGTTCTTTTTTTAGACCACAGGACCTTTCAATCGATATAATCTTCGCATTTCCCTAAAACTAGAACAACCCACATCCTTAACTATTTACGAACAGTAACCCAATCTAGGTTTTACCTCTCCTAACTCCCGTTTCTGCCTATAATATGTCTCTGACTAGACCTTCATGCCTGAGAAGGTGTCCTACCAACCTATCTCGCCTATTTCTTATTGACTTCCACGGAGTCCCCTGTTCTCCTATTCTTTCTAATATCTCTTCATTTCTAACCTTTTCTACCCACGTTATCCTCATCATCCGCCTATAACACCACATTTCGAACGCTTCTAACCTTTTCATTTCCGCCGTGCCCACTGTCTGTTTCGTACCCGCGACTAAAATAAAACTATGGGCCTTCCAAGTACCCTTTATCAAATTATTTTTCAATTAATTGTGCGAAGTAAAATAACAAAATTGTAAACACTAAGTATGAATTTAATGTAATGGATTACTCGCTAACGATAACATTAAACATTCACGCCAGTTGCTAAATTACTGTTTAACAATAAAAAAATCAATTTATTTTTTAAACTGAACTATATAGATATCAACGTTTTGATAAGGCATGCTATTGTTTCATGTTTTTTATTTGTTTGTTCTTCAGTTTTTTATGTTCTATTTTTTATGAACTACTCGGTATATTAAAAGCTGTATATCTAATAAAAGGGAGACATTTATCAGAAAATAATGTCATACAGTAGCCATAAAATTATGCGCAAAATAATGAAACAAGTTCCTTATTAAGGTAAAAATAAACTATAACAAAGAACATATAAGGTAGCCCACATACATGCTCTCTATAGCATCGCTTAGACGGGTTTGTGTTCTAACGCCTCGTTGATGTCTCCGAGTTTCTTTCCGAATTTAGAGCCGAAATCACTCAGTAAATTTACTTTTAAGGTGTTGGCTTCTAACTTTTACCTTTCTAGAAGTATAACGGGAGGTAGTTAATGTTGTTTTGATAATTTAAAAAACGTATGTGTGGCAATATATTCGAAGATTAGTCAGTGTTCTATAGAGGTATTAATATGATAGCAGATTTGAGTTTGTTTTATGAATTAGACTTAAAGTAAACAGGTTGAAAACTGAAATGTAACACTAAACCCTTCTCTCTGTTTCATTTAAAAGATTTAATGATAAATTTGGCTTTACCACTTCGACAGTTGTTCGTAAGAATTAAATTATAAGAACTCCTTTTTGAAGGCGTTTGCAAAAGGTTAATAATAACTTAATTATCTAAACACTATGTTATATGTATATCTATATCAGTAATTGTTTCTTGTATTATAGGTATTTCTTCTTCCTAACAATTAATTTTTTGTACATAAACAGTTTCTATTGTATTGTTTTTTTAATTTTTATTTTCAATTTAAAAAATGCCAAAGTTAACATGTAATTCTATTTTCCTTTGAGATGATATTAATTTTTGCGCATAAGGGTTAATTTGTATTTTTAAAATTTGGAACGGTAACTGTGAACAGTTCTGAAATATTGAACAATAACTGAAAACTACTACAAAAATTTTAGCATTAACATGAAATGAAATTAATTGATATAGGTATACAAACGAATTAACTCAAAAGAATTAGTGAACGGAAATTGCAATAAAGTTATAAAAAACAAATTGCTTACTTCTTACTATAACACAAGTAAAAGTAAGTTACCTCGAAATGGGTTTCCTTTCTAAATACCGCATTTAAATTGTTTAAAAAAAGTTGTCGCTTGAGCTTATTTATTTAGTTGTATAATGTGGTATTTAAATACGTTATGAAAAATACTGACTTGAAGTTTATATTATTAAACAATGGGTTAAGTTTATGGGTATGATACAGCAGAGTGTCTATAATGCTTTTTTATTATCTATAGATATAAAATTTTCCAAAAACAGGGAGAGAGTATTTTGCATGATTTAAATGCCTACATTTTTTACTCGATATTATTCTTCGGATTGAAGACTTAATTTAGACAACTTTAGGGATTTAAGTCCACGTGTTTTATGTCAAAAAAAATTGTTGTTATATCAAGGATCATCAACCAAATCGTCATAATATTATATGAGTAATAAGAGACGTTACTATAACGAGTAAGTACAAATCACACAAATGGGTACAAGTACGAATAATAATTCCATTTCCCCTCAGCAACATGCCCGTTGCGGAAGTTAACAAAGAAGGGGTGAATTATAAACACCTGTTGTTTCCTCTTCCAACTGAACCGATTTCGATAACATAACACAATACACAAAAAGCAACACAAAACACACTTATTCTTTTGCACAAAATTTCACATTCACTATCAAAGCAGAATAACAAACACGCGCCGATATCACCAGATAACATTAAAACCGACCACTATCTAGTGTGCGCCGATGAGACAAACTTAAGTACGTCGAAACAATTGGTAACTCACACGACTACGCGATCGCGGCTTACGTTAAGTTAGTTTACGCGAAGAGACGTGAGGTTGGCTACAATCGGCCCGTGAAACTGCGGCCATTGCTGCGGCGCGCGGACACATGGATCGGTTGTGCTCGGCGAAGGCCGAAAGTGGCACCTCGGATCGCCGGGATCCGTCTTCACCGCGCATTGAAGTCACCGGTATGCGAAGCTTTTAACGAAATAATTAGATTCGCAGGATAACGAAGACGGCTGAAGATGAACGCACGACGCTTTCGGATACCATCGCCGAATTTTTCGAATAGCTTCGTTACTCTTTTATTAATATCGTCGTAGTAGGCGAACACCGATGACTATTAATTTTACAGTCAGGTTTACTTCATTTTTCAGACACTGACGTAGAAACTCGAGCTATGTTAATATCTTATATGTTAACATATTTTTCTTTTTAGCGAAATTACAGTCAAAACAGATTCTGACCATCTTTATCTTATATACCTACCATCAGGCTTTCTGAGCCTTCATGACTTAGCTTCAAAATTAGTATTAATAATATAATGGATGGATTTAATTTCTGCTTTGTGCTTCTTTTGTTTAAACATTTTTGACTAAACTGAATAAGGTTGAAACTGTTGGAATGATAAGTCCGAAATATTTAGATATTAGATATACAATGTTTATTTCTCATATTGTTCAAAACAAACAAAATGTATAGAGTTCCTGCTTTTATTATGTTATGTCTTCCTGTACAGTTACTCCAAATACATAGGTACGCGTATTTATATAAAATACAAGTTCTAGTAAATTGAGTTAATTTTTGAATTCGCAAATATTGTTATTGAATCAAAAATCTATTGAGTTACCGCCGTGTATAAATAGTGGTCTAAATTTCGTTTTTACTTCAAAATTATTCACTAAACTGTGTCAGCATTGATTCTGGAGTTATAAAACAGTAAAATAAATAATACGTAAAAAAAGGATGCTAATTATTATTTATGAGTTGAATGACATTAAAATTAGTTGCCTCGGGTAAGAATCTTGTCATGGACCATTGAACTTCTAGTGGAATAAAATAATTATTATTTATTGATAGGTTCATATTTCACTCGTACGTTGACAAAAACAAAATAAAAGTTTATATCACGTATTACGCACTCGGGTTACTTATAATTCCACACCTTTAACGGTAATATATATTTATAGGCGTGTTTGCGCGATGTACTTGAGCAAGGAAAGTTCGCCGCTAGATGTGTGGAATAGCAATTTTCCAGGATGTAATTGTTTCACGAAGCAAAACAACGAACTACAACTGCAAGAAGGTCGGCAATCGGTTAGGGCGATAAATCATAAAGTTCGCTGGCGGCATTAGCAGCGTGTGCTTCTGCATAAACAGGAACAGCTTTTTCTTTTGTCCTTTTTTATTATTTTCTGTTCGTGATACGGAGATTTAAAGGATAATTTTGTCAGCTAATGGACATAACGTTCGCTACCACCAGGAGGAGCCTCGAAACTTAACTGACACTGATACACAAACGAACTGACAATGAATCTCATCTGTTTAAAACTGTAAGAGGGGTTGGTTTCTTTTTATTTATAACTGATTGACGTAAAAACTACTAAAACTTCGATTTTCAGATTAAATTTAAGTTAATTTAATTGAAAAAACTTAGTTTATATGAATCATAAACACAATGTTTACACAAAAGAAGTTCTTCATCAACCTGAACAAGTTACTATAAGGCGAAATAAACATTGCGGTCTGTAAACTATTTTTGTACTTCGTAATTTAAAGTGTTAAAGTGGAATTAGAAGAGTTAAAAGCTTCTCGATTCGATTTTTCCGAAAGAAAAGCTCCGACATTTTGAAATTTCCATAAATTCCACAAACGAAACAAATTAGCGTAATGTTACTTTAATATGTTGATGTGCTGAGAAGATTTTGAGGCATGATTTTGTGATTTAAGAGATCATCTCTTAAAATCTGATTTTATGTGTTAAATATCGTCTACAGTCTTGACCTTAATGTCGTAGGTTAAGCATTGATCTTGGTTTTAAAGAAAAACTTTTGATATTGGTCTTACAGATTCAGTCGTGCCCTTAATCTTATAGGTTAAACATGGTCTTAATCTTACAGATTAGGTATCTCTTGACATTGGTCCGACAGATTAAGTTTTAACCTTGATGTTACAAGGTAAGCATGGTCTTACAGATTAAGTCTTGATCTTGATTTTCTAGATTAAGCACCAGTTTTGATCTTAAAGATTAACTGTTGCTCTGATAGATAAAGTCTTTATCTTCATCTTATAGGTTTAACATTGGCTTTGATATTCTGATAGTCTTGGTCCTAGTGTTATATATTAAACCTTGATCTTGATCGTATAGATTATCTCTTGGCAGTAGTTTTGCAAATTAAGTCTTGATGTTGGTTTTGAAGATTATGTTTTGTTCTTGATCCCTCAGAATAAGTTTCAATTTTGATAGCATTGGAATTGTGGACTTGGACCAAGACCGAGATTTATTTCGATTACTTCTCCTTCAGTAAGTAGACTGATTTGTAGATGATCTTGTTACAGAAAGTGAAAAATACTAACGAGACTTTTGCGCTCCACGATCTGTCCTAAATTAAGTTAGCCGATTCGATAGACTTTGACAAAGTGGTTGTAGATAGTCGACAAGAACATGTTAATGAACGAATACTGCTACCGACTCGACGACGTCTCGGTTGGCAGTGACAAATACGGGAACACACTCGACAAAATCCGCCGAGGCCTGACAGATGGCCACGTCCGTTCCCATCCATATACACAACAGCGCGTTTACTTATACATGTGCAGGTATTAAAGCCCAGCCGATATGGGCAAGTGGAACCCAGGCGCAGGTAGGTAGGCAGTCGTCGATGAAAAATCAGGTAAAACGAACAGCCTGTTTGTTGGTCAACTAATTTGCCGACTTCTGGGAATTTCGAACTTTTACCAACACCTCGTATAAATCTTATATTTATCATAAAAAATGGTCGATTTAATGCTTTTTATTTTTACCTCAAGGATGTTTGGGAGGTATGTCAAAATGCTACGAGATAAATAAAAATTTGGAATAACGTTCCTCATTCAATTCTAAAACTCCTGTTAAAATTACAAATCGATTTACTAAACCGTTAAAAAGTTATTGCAGCGTTTACTCTGATTGTGGAACTGGTGAGTGAAATATTCTATTGTAAATTCAAGGATGTTTGGGAGGTATGTCAAAATGCTACGAGACAAATAAAAATTTGGAAGAACGTTCCTCATTCAATTCTAAAACTCCTGTTAAAATTACAAATCGATTTACTAAACCGTTAAAAAGTTATTGAAATTTTAAAAAATTGTAAATTTACACGTCATTTTATGGAGATTCCTTAACCGAACAGATTAAATTTATTTTTATTAACAGAAAAAGAGCTACTAGAAATTTCAAACTTTTATAATAAGTAACTTGAACTCTGGAGAATCATTTTAGCGTAAGGTTATTCAAATTCACTAAATGGTTATCAAGGAAAAAATGAAAAATTAGCTGAAAATCTCGTTTTTACTTGATAACATAACGATAATATTTACAATTGTCTGAATTAAATGCAATTTTAATGTTTTAATTATTATTTAAACATATTAAAAAGTTTTATGCTCATTATTGATAGAGATTAAAACTAAATATTTTTTTGTTTCGAAATTGAAATCAAGGCATATTCACTGTCAAAAGTCAGTTAAAAATGTTCCNATTTTATATACTCTTGTCTCCGATTGTACCTTCCAAACATCCTTAAAAGTAACCGAAGAGTATTAGGTAACACACTGAATAACAGATAACTTGCGAGTGAGAAAGTATACAATATGATAAGCCGAAGTCTTTTTCATATATCATTTACAAGAATATGAATTGGAGTACTGTGGAACTTTACTAATAAAAGATGCACACCCGAAATTCCACAAAGCGTTTAAAGACCTAAGGTTATAGCGTTTAGAGACCTTAGGTTAGATCTACTTCCTTTAAGGTTCAAGTGAAGTTTTTGTTTCTACCTCTAAGTCTTCTTAACAGCAATAATGCTTGTTCGACTACGGAATTCAGAGAAGACCTCAACGCACAGGTCCTTTGTTCCAAATTATTAGGTGTTGCGTTTGATTTCTATTAAGTTAGGCATTCCCGTTGGCGGGTTTCATTTGGGAGCTCAGGCCCAGAGTACCTTTGCCGCACTTAGTCCCTCTAACTCCAGCTTTGGTTGCATAAAGCAGAGCCGGGCAAACTCGGCTCTTTTGCATCCCGAGTGCTCCTCAAGGTTAACCAAGTAGATCCTCATTGATCCTGCGAGTGCAAGTGAGATGATTCTTTCCTTTCCTTATCCCTTCCATTTCGTAGGTGAGTCCCCTCTTCCATAGCCAAACCCAATAGTTTTGCGAACCTAGTAACGAAAATTTTCGTAGGTATTATTTAAGTTGCGAGAGGTATGGAGTGACTCAAACTAACCTCATGTAGCGGCTCCTGCGAAGTTAAAGTTTGCCCGGCTCTGGCATAAAGAAAATGTTGCTATTAAATTCTTGCACTTTTTCCGGAAGTCTGCTTAACAAAATTTCCATCTTTCAATTGGGATTTGCTAATAAATCTAATGTCTGCAGTGAAGTACGATAGAAAGCTCACTGAATCGCCAACCGTTTCTGTCACGCTTTTTCCACATTTTAAAACATATTCCGCTTCGAAAATATTTTCTCATTCTACTAAATTCCTAAGACTAGGTTGTATTAATACTGGTTCAAGTGCAACTGTGATTTATACTATTCATTTTACTGGCATATGTATAAGTATATAGTTTCGAATAAGATTGCATACTTGCTTCCGCTATGCTTTTCAAAAGTTTCAACGACAGGTGTGAGTTTGACATGGGTTTCAAAGTAGAAATTACTCAGACAAAAAGAGTGTATAGGTTTTTATTTAAAAATGAGATAAATGGTCTGATCTCGTAAAAAGTTACCGCTTATATTTTATGAAATGTTTTTTTCACGTAAAGTTACTGAACTGTTTCAACTCAAGTTTTATAGCTGAACAACTTAATTTAATGATTCTTATTTTCTACCTTTGGTGACCATA